GAAGATGAGCAGGTAATTGTTTCAATTCAAGGGCAGGAGCTTTCACAGGTTCATCAATGTTTTCATTAAACTCCATCACATCAACTTTAACATTTTTATCATGAATAATTGGTAATCGATTAAGAGCATCATGATAAAAAGAAACCTCCTGATCTAATTCCCCTATTTCGTCAATATCAGAACCAAGCATGCATTTTTCAAGGGCATCAACAAATGAAACAAAAGATCTTATTTCAGCTACAGTGGCATCAACAACATCTATCCTATGACATGTACTTACCTCCTTGGGATATTTCATGGCACGAGATATGTCGAACACAACGGCCTCCTCATTAACTCTCAAAGTCAACTTACCCAATTGCACGTCTATCAGAGCACGTCCAGTCGCTAGGAAAGGTCGTCCTAAAATTATAGGAATCTCTGAATCTTCTTCCATGTCCAAGACCACAAAATTCGCAGGGAAAATTAATTTGTCAACTTTGACGAGAACATCTTCAATGACACCTCTGGGATAAGTGATAGATCGATCAGCTAGCTGGAAGGATATTGTAGTTGGTTGCACCTCTCCAAGACCAAGTGTCCTGAAAACAGACAGAGGCATCAAATTAATACTGGCACCAAGATCACTTAAAGCCTTATTAAATGATGAACTACCAATAGTACAAGGAATAGTAAAACTCCCTGGATCTTTCAATTTCTGTGGTAGTTTTCGCTGAAGGATTGCACTGCACTCCTCAGTGAGATTCACCGTTTCATAAGCCTCTAATTTTCTTTTCCCAGTCATAATGTCCTTCATAAACCTCACATAATTTGACATTTGTTCCAGCGCATCTGCAAAAGGAATATTAATGTGAAGTTTCTTAAAAATTTCTATAAATTTAGCAAATTGAGCATTAATCCTTTTCTTTTGGAAACGTTGAGGATAAGGTAAAGAGTTAGGAAGACTAGAAGCAATAGAACTAGTAGGCTTGTCAGCCTGTAGAGTAGGAGTGGCCTCCTTTACAACTTCCTCCTTATTTTCCCGTTCCTCATTTGTGATGACTTGTTCTTCCATTTTCTTCTTTTCAGGCCCCTAGAGCTCCTTTCCGCTTGTCAAAGTGACGGCTTTGCAATGTTCTCGTGGGTTAACTTCAGTGTCACTTGGAAACTTCCCTTTCTACATAGTGTTCAATGTGGATGCCATTTGCCCTATCTGCACCTCCATGTTCTTGATGGCAGTTGTGTTTCCTTCCAATTTAACTTCCATCCGTTCTACCTGATTTTCAATCTGACTAGCTCGACTTCTACACTCATTGATGAAAGCCCCAAGTAGATCCTCAAGGGAGGATTTCTTTTCAGCTGGCTGAGATGTAAAACCTGGTGGAGGTTGCAAAATATTCCTGTTGTTAGCATAAGAAAAATTTTCATGATTCCTCAACCCTGGATGATAGTGTGTTGGCAGCGAGCTTTGTTGCTGATTTCCCTTGTAGCCAAAATTTCTATTATTGACATACTGAGCTTACTCGATGGTTGGCTCATAGTAAGAATATGTATCTGCTGCTGCCACCAACTCTTTTGAATGAGAAGTTCCTGGTCCTTTGGCATTCGATCTCTCACTAGGCCATTGGAAACTATTGGCTGCCATGTCCTCCAATAATATGTAAGCATTCTCAGGTGTTTTGGATAATAAAGTGCCTCATGCTGCAGCATCCAGTATAGTCCTTGTTTGTCCATTCAATCCATTGTAAAACATCTGAATCTACAGCCACTCCGGATAACCATGCTGTGGACATTTCCTTAGAAGCTCCTTATATCGCTCCTAAGCCTCAAACAATTTCTCATAATCATATTGCCTGAATGATCCGATCTCTGTTCTAAGTTGAGCTGTCTTAGTAGGTGGGAAAAATTTTGTGAGAAACGCATGAACCATCTCCTGCCAAGAATTAACACTGCCTGGTTGCAAAGATTTCAACCAATCCCTTACCTTATCCTGCAAGGAAAAAGGAAAAAGGCGTAAGCGAATAGCATCATCAGTTACTCCATTCATCTTCACAGTACCACAAACATCTAAAAACATTGTCAAATGATTGTTTGGATCCTCTGTGGCACCGCCCCTAAATGTATTTTCTCGAACCATCTGGATGAGGCCAGGTTTCAACTCAAAATTGTTGGCATTAATAGGCAAATTGGTTATGCCAACATGATCAGGGAAGTTCGGTCGACAGTAATCTCTAATGGTCCTTTGGTTATTTTGTTCTAATTTGGGTGGTTCTACAGGTTGAACAATCGGTACAGGTGGTGGTGGATCCATCTCCGCAGTCGTCTTCTTTTTCTCCTTTCGATTTCTTTTACAGGTTTTCTCAATTTCAGGATCAAAAGGGACTAAAACTGCGTCTTTGTCCTTGCGTATACAAATCAACCCCCTAAAAAAAAAAGTAAAGACACAACAATTAAAAACAACTCTAAAGTAACATCAAACAAATTCTCCACAGTATCAAGTGAAACTAAATAATTGCCAATCCCCGGCAACAGCGCCAAAAACTTGTAGCAGAAATTACTTACCGCAAGTGTACGAGTCAAGTTTTAATAAAGGTGGTAAGTAATTACCGATATCGTCTACTGGATTGGGTTTCTAGTCACTCGAGTACTACAGATATTAATGTCCAATTTTATCTAGAGAAACAATCAGGAATTTCTTTTGACACACAAAAGATAAAAAACAAGGTGAATAAAAAGACTCTAAGAAAACTCTTATGGAGAACGGGTCCTAGGGAAATGATTTCACCAATTGAACCTACAAGCGGACAAATTAAAAATGTCGAGATTGAATATGCAATTAATCTACAAGTCAAGAAATCAAGAATCATAAAAGTCTCTCCCGAGCACAATTAATTCTCCCACTTATTAAGAAACCAATATCCCTATCTAGTTTCAATAACAAGCAGGGCCTTAAGTCTTAATCTTTTAACAACCTCTAAGATAATTCTAAATCTCCCGATCTTAGAACTACCCCAGTCATGCATTCAGGTTCCAACCTAAGCCACCTCTCCCGAGCATAAGATTCAGATTTAGCAACAATTAATCCGTGATCAAGAGATTAAAAGCATTAAGCAAATAAATGCATGAATAGATTAAAAACAAATCAATCAAGACAAATGTTAATAAATCCAACTCATAAATCCAATGACTACGTCAATTCCTAGAACAAGAAGATTAGCTACTCATGTTCATGAAAATAAAATAACATCCTAAAACGAATTTCATAATAAATCTAGAAAAGATAAGGGAAAGGAGAGAAACTAAAGCCGTAGTGTTGATTGACCGTCCTCGACTCAATCTCCACGATCACGAGCCCTCGAACATCGTCTCCTGAGCCTTCTTGCCTCAAACCCTGAGCCAATCCTCTCCAAAATCCTTTCCCCGATTTCAGAATCTCCCAAAAGTCCCCAAAACGGTGCACTAATCTTTCTCTTAAGTTAGGGCATCGCTACAGCGCCATGGCGCCATTAGGGAGCGCCATGGCGCCGTCCTAGATTTGTGACGGACGTGTAAGTTCGTAGCGCCATGGCGCTACAATACAGCGCTGCTTCTTCGGGATTTGGCTATCCATTCTGACCTGTACGCGCGCCATGGCGCTAAATGATGGCGCTGATGTGGTTTCAACAAGCTCCTCTTTTTCACTCTAGTTTCCCTCAACTGATCGCTTATGCTTCAATTCTTTCTAATAGCTTGATCCTATAAAAAACATCAGTTATGCACGTAAATAAGCCACAAATGACAGAAAATTGTTAAATGATTTCTACCTGAATATCATGAAATTTGGTGTATAAAGTATACTATCAAAATAATGCCAGACATTTGCTGTCGGCTTATTCTTAGGCGAGGAAGGGATGTCCTATTCTGGGACGATTTCTTCGGGTAACGGGCCGGGTTGGAGGGGAGACTTCTCTGGGGCTTTTTCTGGTGACTTTTCTGGCGAAGGAAATGGTGTCAGTTCTTGGGGAGGGATAGGTTTCTTACCCTTCCTTGCTTTCGTTTTAACTCAAGGCATAATGGGATGACGTTGCTGACGAATTGTTGGCACTGTAGAAAGCCTAGGGCTAAGCTAAAAGGAAAGGACAAGGCGCTGAAAAGGAACCGGGAGGGAGGGTAAAGAGTGCTAGCACACAATTAGGGTTTCAACCTTTTGGGCGGCGATGGACTTTCTTCAAAAGTTAGTCTCTTAAATAACCAAACCATCAAATCTCCTCATTAATGCACAGATAATACCCAACTACATTTTTAATCGCTTTCCTTCTTTTTGTAGTTTTTTAATTTAAAAAAAAACTCCCACGCTTTCTGTCTTTCCTAAAAAAAATGCCCGATAACTTTCCAAATGTGGGAGGGTAATAAAGTCCTGAAAAGAAATCGATTTTATAACCTCTGAACCACGATTTCTTTTCTGACGAATTTGCCTAGTGCGAGCAATGATTGATTTTCTCTTTCCTCCAACTACTTTTCTTCTTTTAATCCAACTCTATTTTTTGTAACCATTTATTTATGCTCTAGCATCAACAAAGTTGACCACATTTTCCTCAACTTCATCCCTTCTGCTTTCGTATTTTCAGCTGCTAAATAGGAGTTTTTGTCCCCTACCTGAAACAAAAATCAAACAAAATGCCTCAAGTTAACACAATTCTAAATGCTACTGTATTATATTATCATTAGTCAACTTTAACATTTATATGTGAAAATGCCACCATTAGAAATTACATTCAATAATTTGGTACTTTAGGATTTTGAATAGGATCGATTTCAAATGGTGTGTTTTTACTTAAATTTATTTTTTTAGGATTTGGTAAAATTTCAAAGAAATTACTTATTTAACATTGTCATATTTTAATCAATCAAAAAGAAATTTAATTATATTCATTTAATAAGATAACAAATTTTAAACTATTTCTCAAATTTTGAAACCACAGAATTTATAACCATTGACAGTGTGAAAGGAGATTGTAGAAATATAACTTCAGCACAAGAATTTTTCTGAAAAGATTCCGCAAAATTGTTTCTTTAGTACGGGCATATGAACTCGGATTCGATGCTTTTTCATTCATTGACTTCAAAGTCATCGCGTTTAATTTACTTGCTCTCGAAGCTTGTTCTTTCGCTATATTAATGGCGATTTCTTTGATCTTCATGTGTCCTGTCCATCACTGGCAATTAGCTTTCGGAAATCCAGCAATTAACTACGATTCTGAAAGACTATGGCTTCTGATGCTGTTCACGATCTCAATTCCCTGATTTCCTCCGAGGGTAGAGACTTTCTCATCCGCAACAATGGCGATCAGGTATGTGTGTATCTTTTCATCTTCTCAATTGAAATTGGTGGATAAGAACGGCTTTCTTTTCTCCATTTCTGCTTGGGATGTTGTCCGTGTGTGTGGAAATGCTTCAGGGTTTAATTTCTTCTCAATCTGTTGTTTTCGTGTTGGATTGCCGAATAATTAACTAACCCTAGAAAAATTTGAACTAGAAAATTTGGGAATCTGTAAGAGGAAGTGACTAGTGAGTGAATTAATCCTCTTATGGGCCATTAATTTGTGTTTCCTACAGGTGAAGAACAGTTCCTTAATCGGAAAGAATGTGGGATTGTATTTCTCAGCATCATGGTGCCCTCCCTGTCGGGGTTTTACTCCAGTTTTTGCAGGGGTTTATGAGGAGTTAGCTTCTAAGGGTGATTTTGAAGTTGTGTTTGTTTCTGGTGACAACGATGAAGAATCTTTCAAGGATTACTTCTCTAAGATGCCCTGGTTGTCCATTCCATTTTCTGATTCAGAGACCAAAGAACGCTTGAATGAAATTTTCGAAGTGAGCGGAATTCCTCGTCTTGTTGTTCTCGACGCCGATGGGAAGGTTTCAACTGAAGATGGAGTGAGAATAGTCAGAGAACATGGGGCTCATGCCTATCCTTTTACTTCTGATCAGATCAAATTTCTGAAGGAGAAAGAGGAGGAGGCTAAAAGGAACCAAACCATTAGTTCCATTTTGGTTTCGACCTCACGCAATTATGTGATATCAAATGATGGAAATCAGGTATAATTTATTCAATGGTTTATCGGATTCTTCGTTTTTTGTGATGGGAATACGGTGATAACTATAAATTTCGTGTTGTAGATTCCGGTCTCTGAGCTTGAAGGGAAACTGATCGGGTTGTACTTCTCAGTGAATGGCCATGAACCATGTGATGAATTTACGCCTACTTTGGTTGAGGCTTACAAGAAACTGAAAGAGAAGGGAGAGAACTTTGAGATTGTGTTGATCTCTTTAGATGATGAAGATGAAGACTTCAAAGAAGCATTCAAAACAATGCCATGGTTGGCACTGCCGTTTAAGGATGAGAAATGTGAAAAACTCATTCATTATTTTGAGCTTGGTGATATTCCTACACTTGTTATAATTGGGCAGGACGGGAAGACTTTGAACGCGAATGCTGCAGAACTCATTGAAGAGCATGGAATTGATGCCTACCCTTTCACTCCAGAGAAACTTGAAAAGCTTGCTGAGATTCAGAAGGCGAAGCTCGAGTCGCAGACTCTGGAGTCTCTTTTAGCTTTTGGGGAAACAAAATTTGTTATTGGAAAAAATGGTGCAAAGGTAAAAGTTTATTTTTGCTGCTTCTTGCCATAAATCTTTGAGTTAAACCAAAATGTGTGTGCTGTGTGTGTGTAGTACTCTCAAGTAGTCTCCTTCTGTATTTTTATGTTTGATTGCCTTTGGTTTGGCCAGATCCCGGTATCTGAACTTGTTGGCAAGAACATTCTGCTCTATTTCTCGGCACATTGGTGCCCTCCATGCCGCGCATTTTTACCCAAGCTTACCGAGGCGTACAACGAAATTAAGCAAAAGGACAAAGATTTTGAAGTCATTTTCATTTCAAGTGATAGTGACCAAGATTCATTTGAGGAATTCTTTTCAGAAATGCCTTGGTTAGCCCTGCCATTTGTGGATGAAAGGAAGAAGTTTCTAAGTCGTAGGTTCAAAATTGAAGGCATTCCTGCGCTCGTAGCCCTTAATCAGAGTGGTCGTACTGTCTCAACGGATGCTCGTAAGCTCATAACAGCTCATGGAGCAGATGCCTATCCGTTCACAGAGGAACGTCTGAAGCAATTGGAGGAGCAGCTGGAAGAAGAGGCAAAGGGGTGGCCTGAGAAACTGAAGCATCAACTACATGAACAACACGAACTTGTTCGGACACGTCGGTCTTCCTATGTCTGTGACGCATGCGATGAGATGGGATATAGTTGGTCGTTTTTTTGTGAGGAGTGTGACTTCGATTTGCACCCGAAATGTGCTTTGGAAAACGACGGAGCCAAGAAGGAAAAGGAAGGGTGGGTTTGCGAGGGAGACGTGTGTCGTAAAGCCTAAGAAAACACATTCAGAATTGTAAAGAATATGAAAGCCTATGATGTTATGTTCTTTTGCTTGGTGTTCCTTTTGTGATGCTATGGTGTGTGCTGATATTGCAGCTATGTTCCAAATCATCTGGTGTGTAATGAGATTTCGTTGTTTAAATAAATTGAGAGGTTTGCAGTTTCAAGCATTTTGTGCCTGTTTTTTATTTTATTATTTTTTTTTGGGGTGGTATTGTAATTTGTGGCTTAAGCTATTTCTCTCCTTTATGTGACTTTTATGTTGTAAAATCATTTTTGGAGCATGTGAATCAACCTCAACTAATTAAGGTATATATACTCTTAAAAACATCGAAGGTTTAGAATTTCACCCTCCCGTTCGACTAAAAAAAGTAATTCTTTGTAGTATTTTAGCCCTAACAATTTTCTTCTTTCCAAACATTTATTTTCTTCTTTGGATACATAGACTCTAAGAGCAAAGTTACCGAGGAATATTTTATTTAGTGATTAGTACCTGTATTTTAGAAAGTGATATTTTAGGTACCATTATCAAACTGTTTTAATTTTTAAATTTTAGAAAATGTTATTAAAATTGTGGGCAAACTTAAAAAAAATGCGAAATTATAAGTTTGGTCCTTATTCGACGATTTTTTTCAAGAAAATGAAACAATTTTTTTCAAGTAAATGAAAAATAACACTATCGAATAGGCTTTTGGTTGAAGGATTTATATTGGGTGTGAATGAGTGTAGATAAGTTAAACTCATATTTGATAAACATATTTAAATATTTACTTGAGAACCGTCTCTTAAATTTTCGTTGCCTCTGACATTTTTATATTTCCATAGATTTTATATTCACATGAGAGGTGAATCGATATTTCATAGTATTACAAAAGAAAAAAAAAAGACAAAATATCAACAAAATATCACCAAAATATCATTAATATGGACATAATATTAATATTAATAATTTTTAACTTATTTAAAAATGATGAAATATTTATTTCTCAATTTAAATATTTGTTATCAACATTTTCATAGAACTGAAAATTTCATTGCATTCACATTTATTTATAACATTCCTAAAATTAACATATCCCCAAGCATCATGTATGCCTCCTGACAGTGGTTTTCTTTTCCATTCTATTTCATGAGTTTATCAAATTTAAGTTTCCATCATTTTCACATCACAATGTAGAAGGTGCTCTGATATGAACCAAAGTGTCTTAGTCCTCAAGATTTAAAGGAAGTTGTTGGAGAATCCTATGTCCAAGATGACAACAAAGTGCAGTTGCATTAAATGCACTCTAGTGTCTATCACTAGATTGGAGACATAAGGGTTGCATAACCACAAGGGTTCTTAGATCCAATTGACTATTGTTTTCTTATCATGCTCTCATGGATTATATATTTTCTTTCCCAAATTCTTCTTATACTAATTTAATAAATTCAGAAACCACAACTATTTTATTATGTTTCTAAACTTTCTATTTTCTATTTTTTTTCTTTTACTTTACAATGCAAATATGTGGTAATTAATTATTCAACCAATTTTTTACCAATTTTTTAGTAAGCAGTTAGTTATGCTCAAGTTGACAATTATTCAATCAATTAATATACACTGGATAATGAAAAATAATAATTATCATTAATTATTCCGTTGATAATTGTGCTAGATATTTAGAATTTACATTTTATATGAGTTATAATTAATTTTTTAACTATAGTTTAAGATAGATTAATTTAAAATTAAATTGAACCGATTTAATAATTTAATAAACTAAATTTACGCAGTAAATTATAATTCCTAGTAATATATTTTTTGAATAATAATTCCTAATAATATTATTCATGAACATCTTATTAATGTTAAGGAAAAATATTGAGTATTGTTTTATCTTTATTTATATTGTTTTGGGTAAAATCTGACATGACACATGGACCATATTGGAATGTATCCCCTAAGTTCGTGATATTAGATAAATTATTTGGATATAAAATAAATAAGCTTAATAATTATATGTGCTTTTTGTCAAGGATATTGACATTCAATGTTTAATCGTTTTTGAACTACTGGATATATTTTTAAACTTTGTACGTTACGGATATACAAAGGATAATAAATCTTATAGTGACAATTGATTAAAGTCACAATTAAACACGTGCAAAAGAATTTATGAGCAAATATCATCGTAAAATCCTTGAATCTATTTTCAACTAAATTTAATCCCAAACTACGAATCTACATAAAAAGTATGAAATTAGAGCACAAATCAAACTAAAGGAAGCTTCAAAAGCAAGAAACTTACTTGGGTGGTCAGGGAGGAAGGGTTTGGAAGGAGAGGAAGATAGGGTGTCAGGTATAGAGGGGCTAGCGACGAAATTAATCCAAATAGTTTTGCTTTCGAGTTGGAACTTAAGTTCCAATACCAAATCAGTACCTTATTGAGGTAATTGACAAACCTACTTCGTCGCATCAAGTTGTAGATCACCTATATCGGTTGGAATCCAAAGGCCCAAAAGATCCATCAGGTATTATGGAGCACTTTATTGATGAACAAATCATTCGTATCGATAAAGTTCCATGGTATGCTGATTTTGAAAATTTTGTGATAAGTCGTATATTTCCTTATAGGTTAGTGCACAATTTATTTCCCTTGTTTACAAGGATAAAAAGAAGCTCAATAGGTGCTGCTTTTCATTACTTTTCACTTAGAAACCGTGTTTTAAGCATATTTTAATACCCAAAACCTTCGATTATGTTTTATCTTGGACTATACAGAAATGGTACATCACTCTTCTCTGTCATTTTGCTCTTTTGGAGAATATTCCTCCCAGGGATTTTATGCGGCGGCTAGAACCTCCTGAGCTTTTATATCGCTCCTCGATTTTAGGGCAACCTGCAATAATTTTACAGACAACGGATGATTTCCACGTGAACTCGAAAAGTTATTACTCCGACTAGATATGTTTTTAGCAAACTCTAGCATTTAGCACTCTAACATTAGAAGCTCTTGCAATTCTTACTGCTTTTACAGTTTTACTTCCATTACTTCTAGATTCTGCAGAGACAACCTAAAAATAGCATAGATAAGCCTAACATTTCATTAGAATAAATAAAGCAAGGTGATTAGCTATGACTTTTCTATTTCTGACTTAATTCTTCATTTTGGTGAGCTTTTATAGCTAGGACTCACTCATTTGCACTCAATCTAGCCCAACATAATGCCACAATAACTCTCTTTTGGAGAGTTATCAATGCATGTAGATTGACTTTTTTCTTTTCCTTCATTTTCTCTCAGGGACTAGGCAAGAACGTTGTTTAACTCATTCCGTTCAGGTTCAATCACCACATGAGAGTCATTAGTAGAGAAATTTCTCACGAAGTATTTCTCTCCCACTCGCCATGCTGATATATGAGAGGAGATTGTCACATTAGGCAATATGATCGTAGACCAGTGCACGAGACATGTGAGAGATTCGAGGAGTTGTTAAGAAAGTGTCTGAACCATGGGTTTCCAGCATGTATCCAGATCGAGTATTTCTTCAGAGGTTTGACCATCCAACAAATATGATGTTCAACAATGCCACAAATGGAGCTTTCACGAAGAAGGCCTTCAACGAAATTGTTAATATTTTAGAGGACATAACTTCCCATAATGAGCTATGGTGTTCCCAAAGGTCAAAACTTGTACCTAAGAAGCAACATCAAGCATGTGTGTCAGCATTAAACATAGCAACTTCAATGCAAAAGCAAATAGTGACAATGAATCAAATGCTCAAGGAGATGGCCCTAAAAATGAAGAATACACCAACCACACATGTGCAGCCCGTGCAACCAGAGTTTACTGCCACTTCTCCCATTTGTCAAATTATTGAACTCGACTTGTTCTTACTGTAATGATAATAATCATCTTTATGAGAATTTTCTGCATAACCCAGCTTCTACTTATTATGTAGGTAATTCAAATCAACAGAACTTCAACCCCTATTCAAACACGTAAAATTCAGGGTGGAAACACCATCCCAACTTTTCGTAAGGAGGTCAAGGGAGTTCCAATGGACCAAATCAAGGGCAAAACCAGCAGTACAAGCAGCCTTATGTTCCTCCTACCTTTTCGAATCAACTGATGCAATCACCATCACTACAACATTATAATCAAAACCAGAGAGCTCAGATGTAGCCATCTCAAAATAACAATAATAGCCTTGGGAGCATGCTCAAGGAATACATGGCTAGAACCGATGTAGTGATACAATCACAAAATGCTGCCATTTAACACCAAGCAGCATCGATGAGAAACATAAAGATGCAAGTAGGACAACTTGCTAATGAGATGAAATCAAGACCACGAGGCTTTTTTTAGGGCATACGGAAGTTCAAAAAAGAGAAGGAAACGAGCAATGCAAGATGGTGACTCTGAGTAGGGGTGTTCACGGTTCGGTTCGGTTTGAGGATTGAATCGAAACCGAAACCGATTTTTTAAATAGGAAATTTTTAGAACCGAACCAAACCGAAGTGTATAGCTTAACCAAACCGATAATTCGGTTCGGTGCGGTTCGGTTCCTGCGGTTTAAGCTTTAGATCGTATGAGATTGATTTAACCTTTAAAACTGAAGTGCTCTCACGAATCATGATAATACGTAATGGCAGTGACGGTCCGATGAAGGCAACGAAGTGGGTGGATGGTGGCAAGCGGTAGATGGTGGTAGAAGCAGATGAAAATATGGTCAATATGGTGGTGAGATTTGAGATTGAAATAGAGAAAGAAATTGATCTGAGATTGAAAGAGAAAAAATGGAAGAATATGGAGAGAATGGAAAATGAGGGAGAAAGAATGGAAGAGGAGAAGAGGAAAAACCTAAGTAAAATTTAAAATATTATTTAAAATTAAACAATTAAAATTTAAAAAAAAATTAAAAAGTTGGTGGGTAGTGCATTCAATGCACTGCACCGTGCAGTGTGCACTGCAGCCTGCCAGGCTGTCTGCCGCAGGTCGCAGTCACACTGTTTCTTTTTTTTTAATCTTTAATTATTATATATGTAAATAAATACATAAAATTAAACGAAAATAATGGATGCGGTTCGGTTCGGTTTACTATTCGGTTTTACTTATTCAAACAGAAACCGAACCGAAAAATTCGGTTATGTTATTTCGTTTAACCGAACTGAACCACCAAACTGCCAAAC